TCGCATTGAAGCAGGGAAGGAAGGTGGGGGGGTGTCTCCAAGTGGGATGCACTGCGGCCCACATTTAGGAAGCTGTATCTGCGTCCTGGCTGGACTGGCCTTCAGAGGCCACAGGAAGGGGTGTTCTTGGCTCAGGTTGTAAATCCAGGTGCTTGTGGGTTAGAATCCCAGCTCACCTCTGTGCAGTTTGGGGCAGACGCTTAGCCCCTCTGGGCCTATTCTCTTTTCTGCATCTGAGGCGTTCCCTCTCCCTGGGCTGCAGGGGCGATAGGGCCAAGCGCGGGAAAGGGATTACGGCTGCTCTGAGCAACAGCGAGGGCCTGGTGATAAGGCCCTGGCTGGCAGCACCCGGAGGAGGAAGTTTAGAGAAGGCAGCTTGGAGCTGGGGGATGCCCCTGAGCCAGGAAGAAAAGGGACCCCCAACTGTGCTCAAAGCCCCCAGGGGGCATCAGTGGCCACCCTGCCAGGCACCAGCCCAGGCCTGGCTCTCCCTGCTGTATGTCTCAGTGTCCACATCTGCTAAATGGGATCACAGCCCAGCTTCGCGGGATTGCTGGGGCAAGAACGGACCTTCACTTGTTACAAACAGGCGTGTGAAACGCCTGGCGCGGTGCCTGGGCTGCAGGGAGCGCTGAGAAGTGGCGGCATCTCAGCCACAGGGAGAGAAGCGACAGGAGGGCAGGCACCGCTGTGTCCTGTTGCCTCTTATCACATCCCTGGCCTGGCTCATAGCAGGCACGCTCTAAGGATGGGGACAAGCCCTGGACCAGGGACAGGGGCCACGCTCCAGGCCCTCCCCCTCTGGGCTCTGAAATGAGGGGGTGGGACCTAAAGGCTCTGGGGTCCCATCCAGCTCTCAGATTTGAACCGCACAAAGCCCGCCTGGCCCGCCGTCTTCCCCAGGCTTGCTGGGCAGCCCGCGGTAGCCTTATCTCCCAGGGACAGTCTTCTTCCTGCCTCCTCGCCTGCACCCCCACCAGGGCTCCCCACAGCCCCCTTCCTTCCCCCTTCTAGCTCTTGGCTCCAGGAACACGCTGGGGAGGCCAGGCCCTGGGGAGTTCGAGAGGAGACCTCTGTGCACTGGGGCAGGGCTGGGGAGCTGGGTTCCCCTTGCCCTTTGTTCTGGGGGAGCCTCCCAGGACCATGGTCTATTTCTCTATCAAAAGATGATTTATTTATTTATTTTTTTACATAGTATTTTATTAGTAAATCAACTAGAACCAAAGGAAGGCAAACTGCTTAGTCTCAGCTCGGTTAACCCTGACCTGTGAGCCGAGCCGCTATTACACCATTTTATTGAGGAGAAACGGAGGCTGAGAGACTGGCTCGCGATGCCAGGGCAGAATGAGGTGGAGCAGGACCCGGTCGTCCAGCCCCAGGCCTCCGTGCCCTTGACCACTGGGCCACAGGGTCCGGTGTGGAGGGAGCGGAGCAGACAGGCAAGGAGGAAACGGGACAGCGTTCAAAGCTCCCTGGGCTGCATTGCCATCAGATCCAACACCCGTGGGGCGTGGGAAGCAGTGACTGTCTTCCCGGGTCATGGGGTAAACTGAGGCAGAGAGGGGAAGGTGGCCTGCCGGCGTCGCACAGACAGTTTGGTCCTGTGCGCCTGTCCTGCTAGGACTTGCCCTCCGGCCCAGCACCGAGATGCGGCCAGCACCCCAGGAACACAGCCTGCCTGGGGAAGCGGGGGAGGCTGGTTGCTGGGGCAAGAGGGGGGAACAATGCAACTCCCATGATCTTCGCATCTTTTCCAGAACCCAGGAGGCCCCATGTTGGGCCCTAAAGAGTTTTGGCGAGAGGCGGGGGAGCGAAGGGACTCCCTCTGGGAAGCTTTGGGCTCCCCTTGGGCTCAGAACCCCAGGAGACCCGGGACCACAAAGCAGCGACACTCTCCCAGGTTCATGAGCTCCCCGTAGGGCCCACCTCACCCGGATAACTTCCTTCTGGCCCCTGTTTGCTGAGTTGAAAAAAAAAAATAAAAAAAACAGGAACCAATCACCTATATGGTAGTTAATTAACAACCACACCGTTTTGATTCACATGAAGCCTTTCTGAGAAAGAGCTCGGAGCAGAGATTGTGAAAGAAACCCAAGATTTCTTCATAAAACAGAGACCTTGATGGTATCGGACTCCGGAAAGAGACTCCCTGTTAACATCTCTTCAAAAAGCCCCAATCCTGATAGAGGGTCTCCCCACCCCGAATCAGAATCTCAGCTGAAACTTCTGAAGGGGGGTGATCCCGCACCCCGACTTCCAGGTGGGGTTGGAGCAGCAGGCGTGTGAACTCCGAACACCAGGCCCTCCCTCGGACCTCCCGCGGGCCAAGTCTGAGCGTGTGACCTTGAGCTTGACCGCATTAGCCACCAACCTGGGCCTTGGTTTCCCTATCTCTCACAGGGACGGTTGGACTAAGATTTCTACACTTCCCTTTTGCTCTAAAATCCACGTGCAGTTCGTTGCCCATCCGTCGGCGCGGGGCTGGCCCACCTTGACTGAGACTCCTAGCCCGGGTTCCCCTTTTGGGAGGGTTGGGCAAGACTGTGTCGTTTCTCAGAGCCGCTACCGAGGACGCTTCCGACTTCCTTTATGCTTAAGGGGAAACACAAACAAACAAACACACAACCTTTTCCATGAAGGAGCAGGGGGAAGTGAGCGCAGGTCACTTTGGGGGCGCGGAGAGGGGTCATTATTTTTCTTTGCAATTTGGAAGGAGCTCCGAGATGTCTCCTCCTAAGTTTAGAGAATGTAACATCGGAAGTGAATTGAATCAATATCTGGGTGCATCCCCAAAAGAATCGAAAGCGGGGACTTGAATAGGTATCTGTGCACCCCAGTTCACGGCGGCATCATTCACAACAGCTGAAAGGTGGAAGCGACCCGAGTGTCCATCAACGGACGACGGGCGAACTCGATCTCTACATGCAGTGGAATAGTATTCAGCCTTGAAAAGGAAGGAAATCCTGACACCTGTGACAATGTGGATGAAACCGGAGGGCGTTACGCTGAGTGAAACAAGCTGGTCACAGGAGGACAAATCCTGTGTGGTTCTGCTTTGAGGCACTGTCGACAGCAGGCAAATCCACAGAGACCAAAAGTAGACTGGTGGCTAGGGGAGGGGAGCGGGGAGTTATTGTTTAATAAATACAGAGTTTCTGTTTTGCAAGATAAAAAGGGTTCTGTAAATGGACAGAGAAGGGGGAGCACAACCATGTGAACATACTTCGCGCCACTGAACTGTACACTTAAAACGGTCAGTGTCGCATTATGTGTATTTTATCTCAATAAAACCAAAAATGAGCCAATAAGGCGTGCCCTGAGCATTTCTGAATCAGAGACTAAAGAAGCTCCTGCTGGTGTGAAATTTCTGGAAACAAATGAACAAGACCTGTCTGTCCACCAGGGCCGAGAGCAGAGTGTAAGGTTCTCTGCTGTTTCTGGAAAGGGGGAGAGCCCGTGTCCCAGGGCAGCACCTCGTGTGCTCGGGCGGTTTTCCCCGGCCGTGATCTGCGGTGATCTGGCCCCAGAGCCTTAGGGAGCCCCGTGTTCTCCACCGGGGCCCCCAGCCCACCCCACCCTCCTGAAAGCCTCGGGGAAAATGGTCT